TCTGCACAGACAGACCTCTGCTACCCCTAGCTATTAACTGTTATGTATTCCAGTAGATTTACATGGAGTAGTTACCTCCATATTTGTTTTTACCGTTTTTAGTAATAATATTACTAATCTCTGGGAAACGAGATTTCAGTTTTTAACTATTTAAGCAGACAAATAGCGTGCAATACTTTACTGTGATCTCTGAGAATAAGCCTTAATAGATCCTTTGTGTCTAAAGGATCCTTCAATGGCTTTGGGGATCAGTAATGGGACACAAATACTTTCACTACTGCTTTATTTGAACTCTGATCAAATACTGACCACAACGGCACTGTCAGGTGACCCTCTGAAGGAAGCTGGTGTCACTGATTTCATACTCATTGGGCAATTGCTCATCTCCAGCAAAGGAGAACCAGAACGGAATTAAAGGAATTTAAGGGACCTGGTTGCTCTCGGACATGGGCTTCCAGACAGGGACTGAAGTGTGCTTGTGGAATAGCATCAGTGAACAAGTGCTGCTGTCTTCCCCTGTGCTCCTCTGCCTGTGGCTGCGTAGGGGACCTCAGGCTCCAGGGTTTTAAAGTTTGAGTTGTATCTTGAATCACAGAGTGGTAGGGGTTGGAAGTGACTTTCAGAGATCAACTAGTCCAACCTCCCTGCCAAAACAGGTTTACTTAGAGCAGGTTGGACAGGAACGCATCCAGGCAGGTTTTGAATATCTTCAGAGAAGGAGACTCCACACCCTTTCGGGGCTTGAAGAGAAAGGTAGATACAAGTCAGCACTAAAAACATGTGACTGCACTTAGTATGGTGGCATTTGAGTATTTTGCAGTACTGCGGTAAGCAGGGTGACCGCCTGACACCTCTAACATTTGTTGGTGATGTTAATGGGATCGTCAAATAACTTCTCAACAAATTGTTTTCTGCTTATGCCTTGGGATGTTTCATTGTAATAGGTATGTGTTAACCAGCAGAATTTCTGATCAAACAATCTAACTAGTCAGTGATGCCTGCATGGGGTTGGGGGCAGGAAAATTCCTGGAGCTGAAAATTTATAACTTTTTAAACGGGAAAAGTTGCCTTTTTAAAATGTACAGTGATTTTATTATTTTTTCTTTAAATTTATGAATGTCAGTTTTTAGTCATGTGTTGATTGTAATGAGTGGAACATTATTAGTGCCTTACGGTTCTACTGTATTGAACGGTTGGTTGGTGATTGCTGCTTCTGCAGTGATGGTTCTGTGCACAGCTTTGCTTACTGTGAAACTCAGTTGCTCCATTTTATACTTTTTGCGAGACTTTCTTTCTTGGTGGAGGTGATTCTTGCATCTTTTGCTAACCCTTGAAAAATTTCAGAGCTTGGGAAAGCGATGCCATTAAGCTGATGAGGGACCTAAATCCTGTTCTTGTCTCTTCCCATTCCAATTTTTGCCTGTATAATTAGAGCAGGAGACTGAGAATCTATCATCCTGTTCTCAGAATTATGCCCTGGGGTTAGTGTTCGTATCCCGAGCTACTCATTAGCCCCTGTTCAAATAGAATCAAAACTCCCTGAAATTTAGTTCTAAAATTGATGGTGGCACCGTTTGCCCCAGCCACAGTGTCTGAGAATCTGTGGTTTCAAATTCCAACCTGGATGAGCTTTTTGGCCGGCCGTCTGGGTGCTAGATAAGCTTCTGATGAAAGGTGGGGTGGGAAAGGGACGTCGCCGGGGCTGGTGGCGGGGGGGGGAGGAGAGGCAGGCCCCTGTGACAAATGGTTTCCTGTAAACAGTTCTGTCCCCTTTTGAGAAGTGTCAGATGCGTTTTGAGCGCTGCAAACACAAACTGCCCGGCAGCTTGCATGTAAGTGTGCGGCGGTGCTTTGAGGCCACCCTCAATTAGCTAGGCGTGCCTATGGCTTTGGGATTGTTTTGTTGTTGTCGTCCTGGATTTTTGGTTCTGTGTATTTCCTCAAGGTGCTCAGATGGAGAAGGGTTTTCAATCTGATCATGTCCAGACTGATCTCACATGAATAAACTTACTTTGACTTGACCTGGCCTAATTCTTCCGTGTGATTTATTCCACTCTTCTAATGTGGTTCTGCTGAGCATCCGTCTCTTCCTCCTCATTATAGGCCTGGCTCTAACAGCTGCTTTTCACTCAACTGCTGTGAAGACCTGAGCCCTGACTGTCGCTCAAACCAAACCCTCATCCCAACCTAAAAGGGGGACCATGTTCCTGCATGCTGCAGTTTAGCACTCTCACGAGAAGCTTTGTGAGAGTCCCCTAACAGAGATGCCCACAACGGTGTAATTAATGGTCTTAAATAAAAAAGCCAGGACATGTACTTGGTTTTATTTATTTATTTGTTGATCTGCATGTAGCAGTCAGGTGTTCTTCCTTTGAAATTAAACGTGCCATGTGGCTGCTGGCCCTGCTGTGCCTTCTCTCCTGTGGCTTGTCTCTTTAAACACAAATCCACACCTATGCTTTGCTGTGTTTAAATGGACACAGTGGGGAACTTTGTAATTGTGTTTGTGTTTTATAGTTTACCGTAAATTCGGAGCTGAGCACAGTACTGTGTTGCTGGAGAAACCCCCCATGCCTGCAGGTTCTGGTCCCTCAACTCCAAGTAGTTTGGTGGTGCTATGATGCTATTCCTCAAGAAAAAAAAAATCATATTTTTACCCCTTTTCTATCACTTTTATTTTCTTTTTTTCCTACTCATGATGAACTTTCCAGCCTACTCTGGAAGTACTCTAAGGAGTAGAGCTTTGCTCGAGTATCTGTTTGAAAATACTGATAGTAGCAGTTGCCCTCACCACCCCTGTGACTGCCATCTCCAGAGCCCAGTGTTTGGGCAAGCAGAAGTGCCGGAATTACTTAACTTCAGAGTGCGAAGGAAACGCATCAGGAACTGATCTCTGGGCGTTTGGCTGTAGCCCAGGATGTGACAGGCTGTCTGACCAAATTGGTTATGAAAGAAAAGGTGGGCCTCAACCCCATAATGCTTTTCCGCATCGAGGAAGGTCCCTGCAATAGATGCCCTACAAGCAATGCTACTGCGCCCTGGTTTTCTCGGAGGTCTGGAACCCAGAGGCAAGTAAGTCTGCCTGGTGACAGTTACCACAGTGCGCTCCGAAAGAGGAAGAATTGGGCTTCTGCGCTAAGTGCCAGGCTGCGCAGAGAGCGCCTGAGCTTCTTGTCCTCACCAAACCCAGAAAAGCATCTTTCCCTTATGCAGGAAAGTGGGAGGAGAAGCAGCAGCAGCATGTTTTAAGGGTTATTGTTTTCTCCCGGAGACAGAATCATAGAATGGTTTAGGTTGGAAGGGACCTGGAAGATCATTGAGTTCCACCCCCCCTGCCATGGGCAGGGACACCTCCCACTAGACCAGGTTGCCCAAGGCCATGTCCAGCCTGGCCTTGAACACCTCCAGGGATGGGGCATCCACAGCTTCTCTGGGCAACCGGTTCCAGTGCCTTACCACCCTCAGAGTGAAAAATTTCTTCCTAATATCTAATCTAAACCTGCCCTCTTCCAGTTTAAAGCCATTCCCCCTCGTCCTATCACTACACGCCTTGAGATAAAAGGAGAAAGTAGCGATTTCAAGATAGTCCAACAGATCTTGCCAGTAAAAGCACTGGCTGTTCAGGGGTGTCTCAGACACGCCACTGATCTGTTACCCTTCTGTAATTTTGTCCTCTATCCAGCTGTGGCCAAAGTGCTCTGCCAAACCTCCCCCTTGCAATTTCTCCCCCTTCTTTTCTGACTGGAAGTGCCGATGGGGATGTTTTGGGTTCTGTATTGCAAAATTTTTTTAGGGCACAGCATGCCCACCTTCCTACATCTTTGTCAAGCCTTATCTAATCCTTTTAGTAAACAGCCTACCATTCTCCAAAGGCTGTAAATACAACCTCTTAGACCATTTTGTGGGGTTGGATCTGCGCGTGTGTGTGTGTTACGTACGGGCCCATGAAAGCGTCTTGGTTCTATTAAAGCCTTTCATAAATGAGAGTTGCTTAGATGAATATTTACAGTAAAGCAAAGAAGAAGAATTTGGGCAATTGCTGTGAATGTTCCCTTTGGTTCTCCTGCGCTGGTGGTTATGTCTGCATACATCTGGATCCCCAGAGGTTCTCCAGGAATGTCTCGTTTGACTGCCTCTGCAACGGTGTGCAGGTGTCTATGAAAACAGACGCAGTGGGCAAACCAAAATGTCCTCTTGGAGCACAAGGGCAGAAAGCGAGCTTTGTGGTGCTCTTGTTAGGTTTAAGATTACTGTCAGGAGAAGGAAGATTTCTACTGAGATTACAGAAGCTCAAGTCAACTGTTTGGGGACCACCTATCTTATTTTGGAACAGTTTTAAAGCAGCAGATGGCAGTTGATGAACCTCTAGGTGAATCGGTGAAGTCTGTGTCCGCTAGTGTTCTCACTCAGTTGCAAAGGACAGGAAATCCACACACTGCCACCTCTCGTCCCGGGGGCCGCGTGAGTAACGATATAGTCCAGAGTGTACCAGTGGAATGACAGCAGATGAGGATAAGATTAGCCAGATGTGCTATTTAACTCTTCTTTCCTTATAATGCGGTAAGCAAACTATTGGGGATTTGGGATGGGTTGATTCCTCTGGGCTCCTGGATTCCAACACTACCTCAGAGAGCTCCTACACCCAGAGAGCTACATCCTCGCTTTTTTTCCCATTTGTCAGGTGGGACCAGTTTCCAGAAACTCACTCATCTGCTCTGGGGTGCCTGGCAGAGAAAAGCGACATTGGGCTGACAAAAGCTGGCGCTTGCCTGCAGCGAGTGCCAAAGATGACAAAGCAATTGGGTAACAGCTGACTGCGCTATTCAGCCAGAAGGATGGGAGTATCCGAGAGGCAGTTTCGTCGGGACTGGCTCCGCTATCCGTTCACGTCTCTTTTACCCTCCTTGCCCCCTGCTGTAACTCTTGCATCCTTCTGGGAATATTAATGTTTTGTTTCGTCCAGTCAGAAGCAGGTTCATCCCAGGACTGCTTGTCATGGCATGGCAAGAAGGAGGACAGACGGCAACGGGCGGCTGCGGTTCCTGCTGTTGAATGCAAAGGAGCTATTACGCGAGGAGAGGCGCAAAGGTGGGAGCCCTGCCTGCAACAGCAGGCATGTGTCAGCGGTGCGCCAGCACAAGTGGTTTCCGAATTAGTGCACACCTCCGAAACGTCAGGTGAGCGCGTGTGCAGGGCTGGTAGGAGGTGGCTTTTCACTGCTTAGCTTTGTGTCTCTGCGCATCTGCGATGCCGTTCTGGGCTGCTGGAGCTCCCAGGCCCTTTTTGAAACACCGTCTTGGCCCTGTGTGCTCAGGCAGCGTCAGGGCTGGTCTCCCTGAGGAAAGGAGGAGGGCATCGGGGGAACATGGAGCCATGGCCCCAGCAGCTGGGTGCCACCCTGGTTCTGAGGGACTCTGGCCTTTGCTCCCAGATGGCGAAATCCAGATTGCTTTATGTGCCTGGTTCTGCTGCACTTTGCCACTTGCTTTGGCTGCTGTTTTGCCGCCAGTTGGACGAGAATCTCTGCCTGTCTTCTGCGACTTCGCTCACTGCAGTTTTCTCAGATGCCTTCTCTTCTTAGGAAGGGAGAGGGAGTCGCTTTGGGGGGTTTATCATAAGTCAAGGTCTTGGTTTGCCAGACTTGCTCTTTTCTTCCTACTTCCACTGTTTCACCTCAGGTTACCTGTTCAGTCTCAAATGTGTGGGGCCGGATTCCTCCCGGATTCTGTCCCCGGTCCGTTTTCTTTGCCCCAGCCTTTGTGGTAGCTTGTCTCCAGAACTAGAAAAGGAGCCAGTATTTTTCTGTGCTAACAAAGTGAGCATTGTAATGCAGTTGCAGAGTGGGTGGATGTGACTGCAGACAGACTTATTCCTTCTGCTAGGGTGTGGATTAAAGCTCAAGGTGACTTTGTTCCTGCATAAATTCACTAACTTTCCCCGGGGAACCGAAGGGGCAGGGGTGGGAGGGGAGAAGTATGATAAATGAAAGTGTCGGAAGGAAACGCACACATTACCAAAGCATAAATGTGTGCTCTGTAAGGAGCTTTTGACGTAGCTTAAGGTAGCGCTCCATGGGTTAAAAAAAAAAAACAGCAGGACAATCTTTAGCTGAGAAGTTGAGTGTGGCTCTCTGCAGGCTGCTGTCCCAGTGTAATGGCCTGGGTAAGTGGATTAAGGAGCAGCAGCGTAGCTTGTTCGGGGTTAGGCAGGCTTCAAGGGGAGCGAGGAGGGCACTGCTCCTCAGGAGAGGATGAGAGGGAGGCAGGCTGCCTTTGCTGCTCTCTACCAGTCAGACCTGTTCCACACTGAAAAAGCTGTGGCAGACGGTGTGGCTGTCATCGCGTGTGCTTGCTGGGAAGGGTCCCATGGAAACAGTTCCTTTCAGAGCTATCGCTTGTCCTTATCTGCCGCGAGGTGGGTATGGTGACAGCAAATCACATCTTGGGACACCTCTTCTCTGCCTTTGTTGCCATGGGAATCGGTGTCTTCTGCAGCTTTGTCTTCTGTGAAAAAAACAGAAGTACTGTTCTGTTATCTCCCCTGGCTCACCCACCAAAATGTGGTGAGGATGGAGTGGGGTTTTGGTGAGCCACGTCGCGCCTAGAGCAAAATGTTCGTGCCAGGGATGGGGCTGTGAGGTCGCTTGTCTTAAAATCTCATCCGGCCATGCATGTCCCTCTGCGGTAGTTACCACATCTACGTGATGGGGTGGTGATGCAGAGCACAAAGCGGTGTGGCACGCTGGCCCAGGTAGCCCTGCTCCGCTCGCCCTGGGTGTCAGGCGCAGAGCTGCCCAACCTTGCCGGAGTAACAGGGCTGGGACCTGCCCTGGCGCCCTCTTCGTGGTTAGGAAGAAGAAGAATCTGGGTCACGCAGACATCTGACGTGCCAAAACGTGATGTCGTTTGAAGGTCTGTGACGGCCCAGGGGTTCGAACGCCTGTCTGGTGGTGACTCAGGTGGGGTCCCCTGGCTTTGCGGGAGAGGGCGGCTGCGGGGGGACAGAGGGTGCACCAGGCTCGTGGGGAGAGGTGCCATGTTTCAGCTCCCTCCATGGGTGAGTGAACAGTCTCTGTGGGGATGTGGGAGCCGTGTGGCCGGTCCTGCGTAACCAGGAGGCGAAGGCACTGTGGAGCCTCCAAAGGGACCCAAGGGGCTCCCGGGGAGCAGGAGCCCAGTCAGGAGCCTCACCCAGGATCTGCAGCTCTCCTGTGCTTCAGGTCATGGCCAAGCCCTGTCGAGTGTGGTAGGGAGAGAGGGGAAACTGCATTTACAAAATGTTACTCTTAGGGGAAATCAGCCCCTGAAATTTGCCATGCTGTACCGGGAGCCAAGGGTCTCGCTCTGAACTGTCCTGAGCTGATACAAGAGATCAGCTCAATTCAGAGAGCTCTCCACCTTGGTACCATACGTCTCGTTCCTTCCTCCCAGCCCTCACTTGTGTCATTTCTTTCGATCGTAACTGATCTCTATTTTAGTTATGCTTCTCGAGCGGATTCCGATACCGAATTAAAAGATATTTATCTGTCAAAAACTCCTACGAAATAAAGAAGTGGTGTTATTTCCACAGTACGAATGAGGAACTGAGTCAGCAGGAGGCTTAATGACACATCCAAGGTTACCCAACAGGGCCGAGCTCTGCTGGGAACCGAATCTGGTAGTTCCTCTCCTGGCTGCCAGAGCCCTCGCCCTGCGTGGTTGTCGGATGTGGGGCATCACCCCGCTCTGCCCTCGGCCTTTCATCTCAGCCTGGGCCCTTGGACTCTGAAACCAGCCATAAATGCAATCAGCCTCTTTCAAGGGGAGAGAGTGATTTATCTCCAGCCCTAAACTTTTGGCACTGGAATTAAAAGTAGAATTTGAACCAGTCTGTGTAAACGCTTTCAAACAGTGCTGCTTCATGCTGTGCAAAGAGTCTTCGTGATGTTCAGCCATTCAAACTAGAAGTGGTTAAATGTAGAAATATAGATGAGAAACTTGGGACTCTGGAGCAGCAGGAAAAAATATGCTGTAGCAGTTTAACCTGGGGTGGAAATAAAACAAACAATTCTCTCCCAAAAATGTGTGCAAGTGCTGTATTTTTAAATATAAAAAATACCTATGTAATAAGCTGTTTTAAATGAGTCATTCAAAAACGCAGGAAGTTTCACTTTCTCGTCTAATAGCTGCATGTTTCTGTGTTTACCCTTTTGCATATGTATGAGTATATCCGCATGTATAAATACATGAAATGCTCACACTGTTGTAGCTCAGTTTTTCCATATTTTTCCCTCTTCAAGTGGCGTTGTTTACTCTTCAAGGATATTCATCACAAAATCCACTTTTAACCTGTGCACCGCTAATTTAACAGACAGGGGTTTCAATTACGGCTTGAAGCTGTTTTCCTCGCCCTTGACCTCTGTCCGCAAAAGGGCCTTCTTGGAAATTGTTGAGAGTATCGAAATAAAATGATGGGATAAAAACAATGAATAATAGAGGGAGGGCAACTAATGAGTCACCGTGAAGTACCGTCAATGGAATATGCTGAGCTGCAACTCAGTTCAGTCTGGCTACCTATGCATCATTGCTGAGTTCTTCGAAACGTGCCACTACGAACGGCTGATGCAGTCAGCTAACCACAGCGAAATGGTACAGCTTCAAAGCTCTGAGAATAACAAAAGTCGTGTCTGCCACTGTCTGCTTACTCACCCTTGAAACAAGCTGGTATGCAAGCGGCGAAGAGCGATTTAGGCTCACAAACAAAATGACTTGCGGGCTGTGATGTGTTAGAAATTAGTCATGTTTCAGTCTGTGCTTCTGATTTTGCTCAGCAGCCGTCTGCAGTGCCTCAGCCTCCGCCTGCCGTCCTGGAAGTCGGGCAAGATAGGAGAAGCGGGGAGTGATGGGGGAGAGGGGTTCCTCCGGAAAGGAAAAATTGACCCCTCCGAGCCACCCCACCGTGCGTGGGGAGTGCTCGGTCCGGTGCTGGCAGGCTGCCCTCCGTGCCGGCACGGCCGTGCCGCTGCCTCTGGTCAGGCATTTACACAGTGACCTGCTGCTGAGGGCTGAGATCCACCAGCGCGGCCAGCAGGCAGGGGCGATGGAGGTCAGGAAGCGCCTGTTTGAAGGCACAAAGGGATGCTTTATTGGCCCTGGGGGCTTCTCATTCAGTGGCTTCCCTGGCGTGGACACCTCCGCAGGGAGGTCTTTTACCTTTGCCAGAAGAAAGGAGGGGAAGGTCGCTCCATTGTTCTCAGGCTTCAAAACCGCATCCCCTCCCCGAAACTGTGGGGCCGGTGGGGGGCTGCTTTAGGGGCTTTTTTCTTTCATGGGTCTGGGGGTGGGTTAGGCTGATTTTCAGACATCTTCCTCCAGCCTTCCCCTTATTGTACAGCCATATACTTCTGCTGACAGGCAGTAAACCAGCAGTTAAAACCTAACCCCGTTCTGGCCGGCTCCCTGAGCCCCCCATCCCTCCTCCTCACTGCTGCGGGGCTCAGCCCCGCCGTACTGCTTTTGGGGATGAAGGTACAAAGGTGCATCCACCGCAGCCGCAGCATTTGCTGGAGGTGGGAGCTCGGTGCCCGCTGTGCCCACAGCCCTGCCCGGTTGCAGCTTGCTTCCCCGGGCAAACTGCAGGCGCCGCGGGCCAAAGCCAGGCAAGTTCCTCTGCTGATTCTTTCTTGGGAGCCCACAGGGGCTGTCGGTGTTTCCACCTGCTCCCAGTGAGAGTGGAGCATGGGATACCTGTGCTGGGGCGAGCTGTGGTGGGAAACAGCCGAGGGAGATGAGCCTGGGGGTGCAATGCCATGCAGAGGTGTCACCTTGCTGTCCTCACCCCCCGAAACAAGGTGTCCCATGCACAGGGAGGTTACGATGATGCTGGAGCGGCGCTGGTGCCATGTTAGGGATGTGTAAAGAGCCTGAGCAGTGGGTGGGTTGATCTGTGGGATGTGCAGCCATG